GGAAAATCACGGTGATTGCTCAAAATTTATAATTTTTTATACAATCACCAACTCTTAAAGCTATATAAGCATCAATCTGAAGTTAATTTTATAATAAAAATAATCTTTTTAACTCTAAAATACAACATCAAGATAGCTATAAGTAAGCCAAGCTGATTTGTGAGTTGGGTTTGGCTTGACTCGATAAGTGGCTCGTGAACTGAACTCAATGAGCTAACAAGTCAAGTTCAAGTTGGCTCTGACTCTATTTGTTAACTTGTGAGTTGGTTTATTTAAAAAATAATTAATAAAAAGTATATTTAAAGCATAACAAAATAATTAATAAAAAGTTACATTAAAAATTAATTTTTTTTCTTAAATTACTTAAAATATAACAAAATGTTATTTTATATTTTATATAAGGTATAATTAAGAGAGGACAAGAAATATTGTTATTTACAAATCAAGTATCTGTGGTGTTGTAAAACTATGAAACCAATATATTTACACGTGTAATGATAAAACCATTGTGAATTTGATAAAAATGAAAAATATGAGTTTGGATTTTATCGTGACCTTTGATATTTGAGCGAGAATTTGAAAAATGAATGAAAGAGGGTGCTTGCAATGTTTTGGATGTCATGTATGTAATCACCCCTTATATTAACTGATTTGTTATTAATTATATTCAAAATCTTAATTATATTTTATTAGAAAACTGGCTTAAATTAACATTTTTTTTCTCTTTCATACTAAAAAAAGTCAGCTCGTGAACCTGCTTAAGCCCATTGAATTAATTAAATTTGAGCTCAATCCCGATTAATTAATCAAATTAAAGTTGATGATATATAGTTCAAGCTCGATTAGATTTGTTTACATCCATAGATGCAATACATTAAAGCTAAATGGAGACTAAAAACCCCCTCTTTTATTTTTTTTGTTCATTTCTTATTCCTATTAAATGTCCTTTTTTTGGCATAAAAAATGAGAGCTTTCTTCTTTTCCTTATGTATCTGAATTTTAATACATCATCCCAAGAAAAAAAAAACACCATATATATTCAAAAACTTAAACAAAATATAGAACGAGGATGAGTTGATGTTCTCTTTGGATACTCCCTTGTAGGGCTGCGCACCCCCATAGAAAAAATTCCAACCTAATTCACACAAACAGTGTTCAAGTTTCCCTACTTAGATTCCCCCATGCATACAGACAAGGCAAGCAACAGCTCCCATTACTATACAGAAGCACAATCCTTGTAACATAATTGATAAGTATATGCGTCTGTCTCGCCTAACAACACATTTCATGTCTTTCAGTAGGGCGACAAAGAAGCACAGTAGTCGTACAGTAGCTTTGCATTTATTGTTTCTTTCATCTAATCCATTCCCACTTCACCTCCTTCCCTCCTCCATTTACCCTCACCCTTTGTGGTCTTGGAGAGAGACAATGGTGGATACAGTGCAGTATGTATAGGGGACCACACTAGGTTGGGATCGGACCTATGGATTCTCTTTTCCTCTTTCAGTGAAAGCTTTTGTGACAGAGGTGCTGGTGAAATATATATGTACAAGTATGCTGTAAAAAAATTATTATTATTAATATTTTTGGTGTCCTTATCCTTTAATAGATTGTCTTTGAGTGGCAGTATGGGAGTCCCTGCGGTCCTCCCCTCCCCCCAGCTGGGCTGGACAGACGTGTTTGCTGACATTTTTATGGGTATTCATCAGCTCATCCTTTGGCAGCTTCGCCTGCTTACTATTGTAGAAGTTGACAAGCCTCCTCCTGATAGCTAGGATTGATGCAGAGAAGGCATGCATGCACAGTGGTGTTGTGCATTTGGAGCAGCAGGGGAGGGGGAGGGGTGCTGTGAAAAGGGGTGCAGCGAACAAGTGGTGTTGTGTGTGGAGGGATTTGGATTTGTGTGCTGTTTGTTCCCTATCTTCCAACTGCTGCCTCTTCCCACTACCATCCTTTTTCACCATTTTGGTTAAGTGGAAACTATTATTGTTATTACTATTATTCACTGCACGTGCTCTGCCTCTCTTCCTTTCTATCTTTTTTTTTTTTTCTTCCCTGCATGCTTACCATGGTAGAGCTTAACAAGAGTAAAATTTTGTGGAAATAGTTACTACTGTTTCTTTTGGTATATACCATCCAATTTCTATGTATTTACACTGCTTAAAGTTTTCATATCACATCAGAGCTATATCATTTTAAATTTCAGAAAGTGGAATAAAAGGTGTAGGTAAAGCAATATAAATGTAAAAATTAAAGTAAATATGTTAGATATATATGTAAATACATATGAATCCTGTCATATGTCTGTAAAGCTTCCTTTATTGTCTAATGTTTATGGTAATCGGACATGATGATATGTAGATGTTAGCAAAAAATGAAAATGAAGTATTAGTTGATTTTTTTTTATATTTTTTATAGATTTGAATAAGTTCAGTAGTTAATATGGGGTTAAATTTAATGCTGTAATGCATTACTTCTTTTGTGGGGGTGGGGATGCAAAATCTTATGCGTTTCCTATTGTGAAAACAATTAAGTAAATATGAAGTGGTTTTCCCACTTGAGTTAATAATATATATATATATATATATATATGGATAGACATAGGTCAGATAACCTTGTTTCTTATCTTTACATGACTCCATATTCAGAAGAAGCCAATTGTTATTGGAGAACCAAATTAAGGCATTCCATTTATCTTTGAGTGGGGATAAAATTAAAAACTACCTACAAATATCAAGAAAAATAACATAAAGTAGCTCATCAATATTTGATTCATTAAGATAAACTTTAGGATTATTAAATCTATTTTAGAACAATTATGCACTTTTCAAAGTAAAGTTAATTAATAGCTTCAGGGCTCATTCCAACTAATTTTTAATGAGAATATTCTGACCCACTTTTTTCATTAAAAATAATTTTTATGGTGGTCATTTTAGGAAACAAGATAATTTATTCCATTTTTTTTCGGGCCTTTCATTAAGATTAGATTGACAAAATACTCCCCCCACTATTTACATGGGGTCGTTGTAGTCTCAGTGTACATAGAAGTGTCAAAATAGTCCTCCACTATTTACATGAACTGAGCTTCAATAGTCCTCCATCGAGACTCTGTCAGTCATAATTTAAAAAGTGAGACCATTTTAAAATTGAACTCTAATAATCCTTCTTGAGGACTATTTCAACCCTAATTAATTAAAAAGTAGACTATTTTGATACTTCAATAAACTCTTTGCTTAAAATCACCTCATGTATATAAGCAGAGACTATTTTGACACTTTATTCTTTCCATTAAAGATAATTACAAAGACAAAGTGGCACGTCAATTTGAATGAGAAAGTTGGAGCATATGGCTGTTCAAACTGAAGAAGAAACAGGATTGAAGAACAAGGCTCTTTTTGATATTTGTATTAATCATAAGAAATAAAATGTTTATTTATTTATTTTTTAATAAATTTATTAGCTCCACAAAATTTAATTTGTTTCTATTTATTTGAAGATATAAAGAGTTTAAATTAAAGCAAAAAATATTGATTATATTTTAATATAAATTAAAATTACAAATTAAGATAGCAACTAGTGATGAGATAATGGAAACCGAAAGACAGAATTTTTACCAACCAATCACAAAACAATATATTCGACTTTGAAATTAACATCAAATCATGTAGCATCATGTTATGGAGCTCAAATTCCCCACTCACTGATAAGCTTCTGCTACACCATTGAAGCATATTTCTTCTTCACCGCTCACTGCATTTCTCCCAAAAGAAAAAAACAAATTTTATTAAATTAAAAGCATGAAAAATTATTTGCATTTTAAACCGTAATATATATGCTTCTTAATTCCTCTTTTTCAACTCATATGATGTAACTTTAAATTAGTTAAATTAAAATAAAATTTGATTAATGCATACATACATACATACATATATATATATGATTTAATTGAAATAAAACATATATATTCTTTGATCCATACATTTGATTTTTCCTAGCATGTTTATATTCAAATATAATTACTTTCTTTTACTTTCTTGAATATATTTATAACTCTCTACAAAATACGAAAGTTATAACTCTTTACAAAATACATTTTAATGTAAAGATACACACTTATATTTAATAATTATAATTCATATATATGAAGTTGAATATGATAACACATTCTCCTGTATTCACGCTTGACTCATTTAGTAAATGAGCCAAGGGAATTATTTTGGCTAAATTCATTCATTTAATGAACGAGGAAATCTTAAGTAGTTAACATATAAACGACAATGTTTTGTGACCTATCTATATTATTATTGTGCTTGAATGCATGAGCACAAATGATTATAAAATAAAATTAAGAATTTTAACATATTGGATTCCAGTATTCAATTCACTTAAAACTTAGGTGCTGAGTATAAATTAAATATAAAGAGCTTTTAGCTCATAACTATAGCAATATTTTAAAATTATTTTGGTTGATTTAGGTCACACTCACATAATTCATCTAAAACATGACTTTCAAATAAATAAATAAAAAGAAAAATTTACATACATATCACTCAATTCCTATGCATATAGATATCTAATACCCAAATCTTACTTCTTACATACATAAAAAGGTGTATATAACATTGTAAAAATAAAAATGATGGTATTTTTTATGTGATATGAAAAAATTGGATGGTATGAATATAAAAAGTGAATTTTAGGTGTTAGGTATATGTGTAAATATATAGGAATTTGTATATATAGAGAAAGGGAGAGAGAGAGATACTATATAGCATAACACTATTTATCTTCAAATTAAAGCTAGATTAAAATAGTTATCCCCTTCCTCCCCCCATCAAGTGAACCCCCACTCCCCATTCCCCACTATGGAAAACCCTACCAACTCTCCAATCATCAAACACGTGTCACACAAAAAACAAAAATTAAAAAATAAAAATAAAATCCATCTTACACTCCCACTATAAATAAACACCACACTGGCCTCCCTTTGTTCCATCAACCTCTATTCAAACCAAATTAATCAACCAAAATCATCTTCTAAACTCCCCCCATTCTCCAAATATCAAACAATTCATATAAAAACCCCATTTTTATTTTCTACCACATCAAAATCCAACCTTTCCGTTCTTCCTCCTCCTCGATCGTACATCTACTGAATTATCAACATATGTTAAACTCTACTCCTCCTCTCCACGCCGACCACGACGACCTCCACCGACCTCCTTCCTCCTCCGAGGTACTCATCGTTCCCCACCCCTCATAACCAGTGAAAAATCCACCTCTTTTTTTTCTTTCAATTACATTCACATTAATCAAGTAACATTAATTCCTCACGTACGTACATTTTCATATCATCATTTCATGCGCAGCATCGATCTCCCTCACATGAGATAAAACATATATATATGTACAGATATTCTCAGAAATGGGCGCCATAAGCAAACTCTGCTTCCCCACCGCCATCACCGGTCTGGTTCTCTACTCCCGAGCAATGATCTCCATGCTCTTCCTCGGCTACCTCGGAGACCTTCAACTCGCCGGCGGCTCTCTCTCCATTGGCTTCACTAACATAACCGGCTACTCCGTCCTCTCCGGCCTCGCCATGGGTATGGAACCCATTTGCGGCCAAGCTTTTGGGGCTCGCCGCCGCCATCTCCTCAGCCTCACTCTCCATCGCACCATCCTCCTCCTCCTCGCAGCCTCCCTCCCAATCTCCTTTCTCTGGCTCAACATCCGCCCCATCCTCCTCTGGTTAAATCAAGACGACTCCATCTCCACCATCGCCTCCACCTTTGCCACCGCCGCCATTCCCGACCTCATCTTCCTCTCCTTCTTACACCCTCTCAGGATCTACCTCCGTTCACAGAACCTCACTCTCCCCGTCGCCGCCTGCTCCGCCGCCTCCCTCGCCGCCCACATCCCCCTCAACTACCTCCTCGTCGTCCGCCTCCGTATGGGAGTCGCCGGAGTAGCTATCGCCATGTACTTAACTAATCTCAACACCGTCATCTCCCTACTCCTGTTCATCTTCTTCTTCCCGGGCCCCCATCGCGCCGCTTGGGTCAAGCCCGGTCCAGATGCATTCCGCGGTTGGGCCGGCCTGCTCCGCCTCTCTCTCCCAACTTGCGCTTCCGTCTGCTTGGAATGGTGGTGGTACGAGCTCATGATTCTTCTATGCGGCCTTTTATCTCGCCCGCAGGCTGCCGTCGCTTCCATGGGAATCCTGATCCAAACCACTTCTCTCGTTTACGTCTTCCCGTCCGCTCTCAGTCTCGCCGTATCGACCCGCGTAGGGAACGAGCTGGGGGCCGGCCGGCCCAGGAAGGCCCGCATAGCGGCATCGGTGGCCATTTGCTACGCATTCGTTCTTGGGCTTGCGGCGATGGGCTTCACGTCGGCGGTGAGGAACCGGTGGGGAAAAATGTTCACAAGAGACAGAGAGATTCTGGAGTTGACGGCGGCGGCTCTGCCGATCGCCGGATTATGTGAGTTGGGGAACTGCCCGCAGACGACGGGGTGTGGGGTTTTGAGGGGAAGCGCGAGGCCCACCACCGGAGCTAATATTAACTTCGGGTCGTTTTATCTGGTGGGGACCCCGGTGGCGGTTTTAATGGGTTTTGTGGTCGGGCTCGGGTTTATCGGGTTGTGGGTTGGGCTGTTGGCGGCCCAAGCCACGTGTGCCGCGCTTATGGGTTGGGTGTTGGTGCGGATGGATTGGGTTGCGGAGGTGGCGAGGGCGGGGGAATTGACGAAATTACCCTCAACAGCCCTGCAGAAAATTCAGGAGAGGAATAAAGGGAAGGATGATATGGACGGTGAGGATGAGATGTTGGAGAATATGGACGATGGGGAACATAAGGGAGAAGCAGCTTTGTTGATTTCGGAGATGGATGCTCTGGTTATTCCTCACGCTGCGAACGGGCTGCTGCAAGTATAAATTCTTTTCTTTTTTTGGCTTTTTTTTTCCTTTTTTTTTTACATATCAACCCTCCAAAATATTAATTATAATATTTTAATCCTTTAAAATTTAAAGATAGCATTTTAATCATTTTTTTTTTATTAGTGCTACCTTATAAAGCCCGTCATGAAGTTTTTAAATGAAGATTTTAAATGATTAAAATGTCATATTTAAGTTTTGGGTGATTAAAATGTCATATTTAATATTTTGGGTGGTAGATATGTAATAATTTTGTTCCTTTTTTTTTTTCAATTTTGGAATGATGATGCTTTGGGTCCATCTCATTTAGAAGAATGTCACCAACTTTGGTTGTTTGGTTGGTTTTATTGCTCAGTTCTCTTTTTTTCCTACTTGATGGTGTATGCAATTTATAAATGAGTTCAAGGTGCATACCATAACTATCTTTTTGAAAGTGAAATAATTTTTTTCATGCATTTGTTTATGATACCAAAATACTATCAATATAAATATCATAATTTGGGTGTTAGATATGTGATATATAAAAATTGTGTGGTATAAGGAGAATTTATTGCATTGAAAAAAAAAATTTACTTAATTGATAATTAATTAAGAGAATTTAATGCATTAAAATAAAAAAGAAGGGAAAAGGAGGCCATGAATGCAATGGGGAGCTCTCATGGCATGCACTTGCAGCCAAATAATTTGAGTAATAAAAATAGAGTCAGAGATGATGATCTCAGCCCTGCCGGCTTCTTTTCATGCATGCTTGCTACGCTCATAGGTGACAGTGACTGAATTCAGGCAGGAATTTTTACAAGAAGGCCCTTCTATTCTTCTCTTTTTAGCATAAGTGCCTCCTTGGATCTTAACTTTAATTAAATGGATTTCCTCTAATCAATTCTTCGAGCTTGAATTTAATTAAAAAATTAATAATAAGAAATAACATTGTTGTTGTCAAAGTTTTGAGAAAAATAGGTTGATACTTAATAGACTCAATTGTTTTTTCCCTTTGCTTTCATTCCATTAAATAACAATCTTACAATCTATTTTTGGTACAAAATAAAGTGCATATAATCTATTTTAGGTAACTTAATAATACATATTTATAATCTAAATATTCAGCTAAAAGGAAAATATATCAGAATAAAGATATTGCAAATAAGGAGTCTTCTAATTATAAAAAAACTCTTAATTTAGTTGTCTGATTTCTATTCTTTTTTATCTACAGTTTTTTCCCTTTTTTTCCCATTTATTCCCTTCTCCTATGCAATGTCTCTCTCAATATATTGATTTCCATAAAGAATTCTAATCATCCGAATTAAGCATAAGCTATCCTATTATTTTTGTTTGAGAAGTTGAGCCAAAGGAACTAGACTTGCTTAAACATGAGTCACAAAGAAGAAGACGAACGCTTCTACTAACATAACGGAACCACGGCTCAGCATTGAGCACATCTATTAAGTTATTTGCTCATTGTTCCCTTTTTCTTGATTTGAATTGTTTGTATGATTGAAGTTATTTATTTTGTATTCGAGTTGAAATTTAGTCATTTATTTGTTGTTCAACTCATTTCTATTTTTTGTCCAATGATATTTTAAATAAATTCCCCTTTGTATCTATACATAAAAATGTGTAATTAACTTTTTTTAAGTTAAAGTGATGGAATTTTTATGTGATATGAAAGATTTGGATGATAATGTAATTTGAGGCCACATGTCCATGCATACATGCATACATGCATACATACAGTATATATAATTTTGTATTATTTAAAATAAATTGTTTTGGTTGATTAGAAATTAAGATAAAATAAATAAATAAATTATGAACATAAAATTAATAATTAAAAAATAATAATTAACTAAAATAAATGCAAGCAGTGAAAATAGTACCGTTTGAGATGGACTAATCAGGAAGTACGTGCCAGCGGCCATCCTTTCTCAAAAGTACGACTTGTTCGCATGAAATTATCATCCTTCAATCAAGACGTACGAGAGCAACCAATCATTAACAAGCGATGAGTTTTAAGGTGCGGCACAGCAAATTCTGTACTAAATCTAATCACTTTAAAGCTCTAGATCCAACGGCGTAGAGTAACGCTGCGTACAAACAACCATTTGTAGCCCCTTAAGTTTCTGTTGCACACGTTAAACTGCTCAATAATAATTAAATATTTAAAAAATAAATTATAATTATTATTATAAAATATTTTTGAGGAAAAGTGATATGGGAAAATACAGATTTCAGTGATTTTTTTTATAAAGCTATTAAAATGAAATTTAACCGAGCAAACAAAAATGTAGGGCGGTGACGCACCGCTGCCCCCAAACGGATCCTAAATTCTTTATATATAAAAAAAAAACAAAAAAAAAAAAGATTTACATGTATACCAGTCAATCCTTATGCATTTACAACTGTTAACACCTTAATTGTAAGTTTACTTGCATTTCATCTTCGCTAGATATGAAAAGATGTATTTATGAGTAAGATTTGGATGGTATAAATGTAAAAATTAAAGTATAGATGTTATATATGGAAATACATAAGAATTGGATATAGATAAATAAATAAATAAACTGCCATATTCACTATTCAGTCTTTTTTGAGGGAGAATTCCCATCTATTTTGAATGCTTTGTCAAAGTGATGGATTTAGGCATATTTTTTATTCTTTGTTTATCTTATCTATTTACTATTTAATAGTGATATATTAACCTCCTAGGTTTATGATTAATTAGAATTCAAGTGTATTGTAGATAGAGTATAAAATAAATTCAAACTTTTTGAAATTCTATTTAATATGTGGTTGGTCATAAACAAGCTCATGATATTAATTTTTTGTGCTTTTTTTATAATTTTTTTATTAATATAAATTGAATCTTTTTTTTTTTTAGTTTTTTTTTTATTGAATGACATTAAGTTGGGTAAAGTCATGGTCAAGAGCTTGCATGCAATGAAAGATGGAGATCAAAAGTGTTGAAACAGAAGGGGGAGTCATAAGAGGTTAGCACACAGATAAGTTAGTCAAAAGCAGAGCTAAAGTTAGGACAAGATGATGTAGTGATGACCAGCAAGACAAGATAGTGCGGTAATGACAATGATACGGATGGGTCATCGAAAGTATAATAAGGTGAGGTCGTACAGAGTGGAAATCAATGCGGTACATGAAGTTCACAAGAACAATGAGCATCACAATATTTATGGGTGAGTGTTGTGTAGAGTTCATGAGAACAATGAGCAATATGAAGTGATATATTTGGGTTTTTGTTTGATATATTCAGATGAAATTGTAATATACTAGAAGTAAACTATTGAGAGAGTTTGTAATTCCTCAAAAAAATACATTAGATGTTTTAATATCAACTAAACATTCAAATATTTAAAGCTCTTACACCTTAAATGTGATTAATTCAAACTATTCTCAACCAAAACACTCCACAATCATCATCATGGGAAGTATACAATAGCCAAAACAATACAACATTCTATGAGTGAATCGATATAAAATTATTGTTAAAAGTTGTATATTTATTGTTGTGTTATATTTTTGATATCACATGTGGATGTCCACTTGAATGACTTGAGACTATTTAGTATTCAATCATAGCATCCCATAGCCCAAGACATGGGTATCTGGACCCCCATGGTGCATGTTTGAGGTACAAAACCAGGGTCTCTAATGATTCGAACTTGATCAGAAGAGTCCACCATCCGGTGGCATCATATATGATATAGGAAGTGTTTCAGGACCATTCTAATGTTCAAAGACCTCACACTGCCTATTCGAAGTCCCATAGCCCAAGACATGGGTATCTGGACCCCCATGGTGCGTGTTTGAGGTACAAAACCAGGGTCTCTAATGATTCGAACTTGATCAGAAGAGTCCACCATCCGGTGGCATCATTTATGATATAGGAAGTGTTTGAGGGCCATTCTAATGTTCAAAGACCTCACTCTACCTATTCGAAGTCCCCCCGCCCAAGACATGGGTATCTGGACCCCCATGGTGCGTGTTTGAGGTACAAAACCGAACGAGTACGGTGTTAAAGGCTCCCTCAACCCAGATAAGAGTATAGTCCTTTATGGGGAGGTTTTGGCTATGAAGATGGACCCCTCTCCTCTTCTCCTTTCCAGCAGCATCTTTGTCATTGAATTGACGAGTATAAATCCCACATGTACCTATTCCACCTCTTAGAGAGTGATAGGAAATTAAAGGTCTCTTTTCTTTGACCTTAGAGCTACTAGGATTCTCTTAGACAACACAATTTATGGATTGTGGACAAGAGGTTCCTTGTCGGGTTGGGACTTTACCTTTACGACCAGGTAAACTTAGGGTTTTCATAGTTTAGGATGACAGATCTATGGTATCCTGAACTGCCAACCTCTACCCGTTTAGGGATTCCTCCCCTTTTTTGTTGACACATCTCTTAAGCTTTGACATTCCTTTGAAAATTGTTGATATCGTCTTGCGAGCCTTGTATGCCTAGGCGTTGTTGCCCGTAGTGGCTATGGTGATTCACCATCCTCCCTATGGCCCAGTACAAGCGTCGAAAGCATTGGGATTCTCCCATTCGAGATGATTAAAATACTTTGGTTTTATAAATAACCAGATCAAAAATAATGCATAAAAGACTCTTCTTATCGAGAGTGTTCTTGGGCATCTTCCAAGATATAAGTAACCAAATGCATAAATTATTTTGGGAGTTGCTCTGTACCCAAAACAAGCATAAAAAGTTGATTCTATGATTTTGGGTTACTTTCATAGGTTTTTCTTCGTGCATATGTCTCCAAGGCATTTTTCGATCCGATCTAGTTTCAGACATATTCTCTTGTACGATTGCATGAAGGTTATCTTATGAAAATATTCCACGTTCTTTTTAATTTGCTTATGTATTTTCGTCATATATCTCGTCTCTTATGATTTATTTCATCTTCAGTTCATTACATATGATCCAGGAGGCAAAGTTATTTTGAAAGAGGAATTATACGACGACAACATCTATATAAACAAGCTGACGACTCCAATAACTTCAACAAAAATTACGAAAACATTATCTTTTTTTAATTTGCTCCAAA